CGGGGCTTCCGGGGGAGCTCCCTGCGGCGGCCACGCTCAGTGTCGTGAATGGTCAAAGTCAGACAGACTTAATCCATTCACAGTCATGTACCTTTGCGTTCGGCGTGTCCATGCTCGCATTCATGCGCGTAGACTTGCTCGCACGCAGACTCAGTCACAATCAGTCGCGCTCGCGCTCAGTCTCACGCGCGTTCAGTCCCCCGTGCTCGGACTTATCGTTTTCGTTCGTGTTGTCTACCCCGCCACACTTGTCGGCGCACCCTTCGCACGGTTCGTGGCCCTATAGGGATCGCCACCGAAAAAGATATTCACAATTGCGGTATTCGCAACTGCGCAACTGCATATTGCTTGGTCCTTCGCCACGTTTTTTTTTTTTTTTTTTTTTTTTTTTTTTTTTTTTTTTTTTGGGTGTTTTTTGCAGTCGTGGCGCCTTTTGGTGGATCCCATCATGCACCATTGAGTATGAGGTCCACTTTGTTCATAGTGGCCACCGTAGATCTGAATCCTGTGATCGGGAGATTTTCGATTGGCAAACCTTTGTATCGGATGTGGGCTCCAGGCCCGTCATTGCCAACGTGGCTGTCACGATGACCAACGTTTGAGTTCAAATGCGCATCCACATTGCGCATGTTACCGTGATAACTTCATGTCGTCGGGGAGGAGACTGCATGCCAACGCTGGACCACGTTACCCACAATAATCCCGCCTACTACAGTGATCAGTTCCAACGTCGGGATCAACTCCAACGTCGGTTTTCTTGCGGTGCGAAGGGGAAGTGACTCCCCCTTCGATTTCTGACCGAATCGGCCACTCTGACATCTGTGCCGTGTTATTGGGTATGAGGTCTCTTGAGGAGCAACGCCGCTCGTGCAGGCACAGCCTGAAGTGCGGTGGCGAGCTCACGGTCGAGGTTGTCTCGGGCATGATCTGCCCGTCGATCTGTCCGTGTGATCATGGCGGCCCACCTGCTGTACTTGCAGGACTGCGCAGTTGGGCGAACCCCATCTCTTTCTCCACGCGACCAGTTTTGCCAACGGTAGCTGAAAAGGGATCGGGTGCAGCTTCTGGCATGCCGCCCAGGCTTCTTGAGCCATCGAATTTCGATTCCACGGGTCTTGTTGGAAACGAGTGTGCGGTTTCCGAGGGCGCCATTCGTTCGAACAAGTTGGTGCCAACGTCTTGACGCTTCGCGTGTCCCTCAGCCCATGCAGAGACGGTTCCTTGGCGAATCGCCTTGATCAGGGACGTGCTGGAACACACAGTGACACACAGGGCGGGTAGTCGCCATACAGTTCATATATGTAGTAAGGGTGAGTGACTTTCTAAGGTTACCATTGCATTCTTTCTCTACGGCCCATCCTTGGCCACTTTCGCTGTCCGTGCCCCGCTCGGAAAGTGACGACAAGGCCTTCCAAGGCCCTTCAATTCTTATCTTGCATCTTTATTTAATCGCTTCGCTCATTCCGCCGGCCCATTTCGCAACACGGTGGCTGCGTGGTGGTCTGCTCGTGCCCAGGGGGAGGGCAGTACGATCTTCGAGGAGATCTTTGGAGATGTGGCTCGCACCCTGTCGAAGGGAGCCGTTAGACTGCCCCAGAGGGCGCCAAGATGGCTCAAGAGAGCTCTAGAAGAGTTTCGAGACGTATCTGGGTTGTGGGTCAAAGTCCTCATGGATCTTTCTTTGGATCTCTTCGGATGGAGCCCCTGGGGAGCCTCTTGGTGGCTTCTTGGGGGCCTCTTAGGGCTTCCTGGGGGCCTGTTGGGAGTTCCTGGAGCCTCTTTTAGGGCCTCTTGGGGCCTCTTGGAGCCGCTTGGAGGGGGGGGCTCGTGGGGGCTTCTTGGGGCCTCCTGGACGCCTCCTGGGGCCGAGGGGTCGAAATGTCCGTTCGGGTTCCCCGTCTGGCCCCCTCTTGGGGCCGTCCTGGGGATATCTTTGGCCGTCTTGGAGGCGTCGTGTGCCGTCTTGGGGCCCTCTTGGGCCCTCTTGTGGCTCTCTTGGAGGCCTCGTGGGCCGTCTTGGGGCGATATGTGGGGCCTTTTGGGCCGTCGTGGAGCGTCGGGAAGCCGAACAGATGAGAACGCCAAAATCCTTCAAACACCGCAGGGATATCGATGGTTTTTGCCTCCTGGAGCTCTCTTGAGACGCTTCTTCGAGGCCTCTTTGGGCGTTTTGGGAGCCTCTTGGGACCGAGGGCTCGAAGTGTCCGTTCGGATTCTCGTCTGGCCTCCTCTTGGGGCCGTCCTGGGGATATCTTGGGCCGTCTTGGAGGCGTCGTGTGCCGTCTTGGGGCCCTCTTGGGCCCTCTTGTGGCTCTCTTGGAGGCCTCTTGGGCCGTCTTGGGGCGATATGTGGGGCCTTTTGGGCCGTCTTGGAGCCCACCCCTGGGTCCGCCTGCTCTGCCGGCTCCCCCATCGGTGAGGTCACCGCTTTGCATGTGCTGCTGCCCCACCTGGCTGTGCCCGGCCGCCGCTGGGCTGCCGCCCCTTAACTGCTGCCCGGCGCCGCGGCTGGTTCCTCCCCCCATCGGCGCTCCTCCCGCCGCAGCCGGTGACTTGCCTGAGCGGGCCCAGCTTCCCCTCTTCCCGTCGCGCTGGGGTCTCCTCCTGCCACGCGCATCGCGGCCCAATTCGCATCTAGTGCGCCCCCCTGATGCCCGATCGCTGGAGCAGTCACCCTCTGCCCAGCTGCCGACGCAAAGACTTGTGTGTGTGTGTGTGTGTCCGTGTGTGTCCCTCCCTCCTCGGCGTCGCTGGGTTTTAAGCTGTCCGACTGCTGCGCGCGACACGTGCCAGGGCTGATGCATGCCGCTCGTCTATTTTTTGTCTCCCCGCCGTCTCGGCTCACCCCTAATCTGGGAGAGCACGGCCTGTGCTCCAGCGAATTGGGCATAAGCACATCAGCCATTCGCTCTGGCGCGTCCCTTCTGTGCTCACCAGTGGCTGGTGCAAAGCTGCGGAGGGTGAAACAAGTGTGTGTGTGTGTGTGTGTGTGAGTGTGTGTGTGTGTGTTTTGCCGCTGTCCTGGAGATGGGCAAGGTCAAAGCTTGCTCGGTGGGCTTTGGGCTCCGACCTACGTTCTGGTGCTACGGTCAGAGTTTGCCAGCGGAATGGATACAACTGCAGTCCTGGCCGGTCTCGCTTGCTTGGCTTCCACGCTGTGCGCAGATCACCACCTTCCTGGCTCAGGCGCCGTCGCCCAGGCCTTTGGACCGCGCCAGTCTCGCGCGGGGTGGGCGCCAGCACTGGCCAACGTTTTTTCCGGTTTGCTTTCTCAGTTTCTCAACGCCGCTCTCCGCGGAGGTGAGCTATGCTGGTGGCTGGCACGGCGGCTTGCAGCCCTGGCTTTCACCCGCCTGAGCTGGTTCTTGTTGCAGCCGTCGGTGCGCCCTTACGGCCGGGCTGCGTCGGTACCGACCATACCGCACACCTGCTGGCGCGGCAACGCGGTGACTTTCCCAGCCGCGCATCTCCTCCTGCCAACCGCGCTCTATTCGATATGGTGTGCACGGTTTCTTTCATTTCATGATCGATTCAGTTTTTCCCGCATGCATCCGCGTTCCGCATTTCTTCTGCAACCAATTGCCCGCATCCAGTCCACTCATCTGCTAGACCTGGTGGAAGTTCGTTCAACCGCGACTCATGCTAGCGCGCCGCGACGGTGTTGTCACTTCGCCGCTGGATGGAATATTGTGTGTGTGCGTGTGTGTGTGTGTGGTGTGTGTGTGTGTGTCTGTATGCGTGTGGCTGATCCGCCAGATCACTCGCCCTCTGCCCAGCCGCTGGCGCAAAACGTGTGTGTGGGTGTGGTGGCGCTGTGCTCGCGTGTGTGTGTGTGTGTGTGTGTGTGTGTGTTTGTTTGTGCGCGCGTGCGTGCGTGCGTGCGTGCGTGCGTGTGTTTTTTTTTTTTGTGTGTGTGTGTGTGTGTGTGTGTGTGTGTGTGTGTGTGCGTGCGTGCGTGCGTGCGTGCGTGCGTGTGTGTGTGTGTGTGTGTGTGGGTGTGTGGGTGTGGGTGCGTGCGTGCGTGCGTGCGTGCGTGCGTGCGTGCGCGTGTGTGTGGTGTGTGTGTGTGTTGTGTGTGTGTGTGTGTGTGTGTGTGTGTGTGTGTGTGTGTGTGGGGTAGCGATGTGCGCGCATGTGTGTGTGTGTGTGTGTGCGTGTGTTTGTGCGTGCGTGTGTGCGTGCGTGTGTGTGTGTGTGTGCGTGTGTGTGCGTGTGTGTGTGTGTGTGTGTGTCAGCGTGTGTGTCTCTGTGTGTCTGTGTGTCAATGTGTGCGTGTGTGTCGGCACAGGGTGGTCGTTTTATCTGCTGCGGGCGTGACCCGCCATCGTTGGTTCCGCGATGGCACCACATTTGCGACGTGAGCGGAATCAGTGGGAGAGTGTGAGTGAGTGTGTGTGTGTGTGAGAGTGTGCGTGTTCTCAATAATCTAACCGCCCACAGTTGCATCAGCCTTTGTGTGTACCGCTCGATTGGTGTCTCATCGGGCTGAGAACGCGAAACAGGTGTACGTGAGTGTGTGTGAGTGTGTGTGTGTGTGTGTGTGCGTGAGTTCTGACCGCTCCTACCGTTGGTTGGTCGTACTTCCCCCCCTCGTGGATGCCCCTTCCGCGAGTACCTCCGTACCGTAGCTCCCTGTGGGTGAGCCTTACGTTCCTCGCAAGGGTTGCGTAGGAGTGAGGCGCGAGGCGCGTGTTTAGCTCGGGACTCGTTCCGGTCTGCCTGACTCCGCCGCGTCCCTGCGCGCGCAGCCGCGAGGCCGAGGAGGGTGCGTGTTTGCAGTGGCGTCTCCTGCGAGCGCGCCAAGCGATTCTGTTGCACCTCGCCGCAGGCTCTAAAAGGTGTGTCTGCTCGTGTGCGTTCAAGATGTTTGCGGGTTCGGGCCCGCGTTCACAGACACGTCACTCCCCGCCCGTGCCGTGGACAGCATACTCTTCTAGCCCCCTCGCGACGCAAACCTTCCTGGCGGCGGTCCGGGCAGCCGCGGCGGCGGCGCCGGCGAGGCTGGGGCAGCTGGAGGGCGCCGCGATGCAGAAGGAGTGCGCCCCCCGCCCAGCTCCCCTCGTAAAGTCGAGACCTCTGCATGTGGGGCCGGAGCACATGGGGTCGAAGGTTCGCGCCGCGTTGCCGATGCATCGGCAATGCCGCTCGATTTGGAGCTTGATCTTCTCCACGCCGACGCCGCCCATGTATCGCCGACGTCGCCGATGAATCGGCAATGCATCGGTGATGCGGCGCGATCTTCCGACTCCATTTTTCCCTCGCCCGTTCGGAAAGTTTCTGTCAAATTGAAGAGAACGGCACATATACATTTTTTTCGGAAGTCCGTGTGGATCTGTCGGGTAAATTCTTCGACGTCTGAGCGTCCCTTCTTCCTCTCGGCCGTTCCCCCCCCTCTTTGCTCGCCGGACAATTCTCTAGTTAGTGCCCCTATCTAGCTTCTCGCTGGAGCGGATTTCTCCGCCTCGCCGCTGACGAAACAAGTGGATCTGTCGGGTTGGCGCTGGACACCCCTGGCGCGCAAAAAGCGCGCGAAGTGCGCCAGCAGCGGCGCCAGAGGTGTCGCCACGGGGCCAGCGGCGGCTCAAAAAATCTGGCCCACCGAAAGTTTAGTTTGTGTTTATTGTCTTGTTTTGCGGTCGAAGCCAGCTGTGGGAATGAGCCTTTGAGGCAAGGGGTTCTTGCATCCCTTGGTTCTGAGCGTCCTTGCAGTATCTTATGCTTCCTTGGTCCAAGAGTGACCCCTGACTTGGCGCGTTCTCGGTGCCCTTAATCCAGGTACTACCCCATGTCTTGTTTTGTCCCCTTCCGAGTCCGCAGTTTTCCAGTCCTGCGAACTCATTGGCTCAATTACGCCGCATCGCCAGCCCATTGGGGCGCTGAATGCTGCTCTTGTGGGGTTGAGTCGCCGTAGCGGCGTCTGAGTGCTTTGCGACCACCTAGGATCCCCCTGTTTCCGCTTCTTTCCCCCCTCTTCCCCTTCCTGCTTCTCGTCATTCTCCTCCCCCCCCCGCCTCTTCCACACTTTCTTTTCTTTTCTCCGCCGAAAAACGAGGACGCGTCGGGCGAACAAGGAAGATCTATGAAGATGATCATCACAAGCATTGAACTGAGCATCCTCCTTCCTCCCCCGCCCCCTCTCCCCCTAGCTTCCTCGTCACCCTCCTTCGCCTCCACGTCCCGACCCCCCCCACCTAGAGAAGCCGTGCGACGCATCCCAGGAGCGTCCAAAGAGCGCCGATCGATTCTCCAGGAATTCCGCGAGCTGGGGGCTGTGGGGCCCTGAACGAGTACCCATAAGTCGTTGAACAAATGGTTTTGGATTCCCAGAATCCAATATACTTTCGGCGTCCTCCTGCTCGAGTGGTCTCTCCTTTTCCTTCCTCTGCAAGGGGCGGGCGGAAACCCGATCTACCTTCAACGCCTTCCGACTTGACGTTTCTATCCACTTCTTCCGACCGACGGGAATTTCCGGCATTTGATGGTGAGGCCTCTGAGGGACCGGGTGTCATTTCTGTCTGTGCCTCGAGGCGCGGTGGCGGACTTGAGCTCGAGGGCCAGAGCGCGATCCTGCGGGATGGAGGGCGTGGCAGCGCGAGGACCCGGCGGCGCTGGAGGCAGAGCAGAGAGCCTACCAGCTTGAGACCATGCTGGGCCCCCCCTGCCCCGCCGCAGCCTGCCGGGGAGGGTGGGGGAGGAGGACTTGCGCAGACAAGCTGATGAGAGGGGAGGAGAGGAGAGGAGAGGCGAGGCGAGGCAACGCGAGGCGAGGAGGAGGAAGAGGAGGAAGAGGAGGTGGAGGAGGACGAGGAGGAGGAGCACGACACCGACGAAAGGGAGGAGGAGGAGGAGGAAGAGGCGGAGGACGAGGACGAGAAGGAGAAGGAGGAGGTGTAGGAGGAGGAGGAGGAGGAGGCGGAGGCGGAGGCGGAGGAGGAGGAGGAGGCGGGTGGAGGAGGAGAAGGAGGAGTAAGAGGAGCAGGAGGAGGAGGGCAAGAGCAGGAGCAGGAGCAGGACCAGGCTCAGGAGGAGGAGGAGGTTTAGAAGGATGATGATGCTGCTGCTGCTGCTGATGATGATACTGATGATAAGGAGGAGGAGGAAGAGGAGGAGGAGGAGGAGGAAGGATAATAACAATAATGCGAGGCCGAGTGATCACATTAGTAGTACGAATAGTAATAATCATTCTATTAATAAGAGTATTATTGCGACTAAGCAACAGACTAACATGAAGACGAATGCGACTAATAATGACCTTTCGGAACAGTTCTTCGAAGACTAATGATACTAAAGCGTTGACGGATCATAACACGACAAGTAAGAGCCCGACACATAACAATAGTAGTACTACTGTGAATATTAGTAATATCGCAAAGGACATAGGTAATATTAGTATCACTATGCATACTGTTATACAAACGAATCGTATTGTTAGTTCGGTTATTACTAGTTTGATTTTTTTTTACCGTTATAGTTATGAATAATGTTACGAATGCTTAGGATAGTAGTACTACTACTGTTCATATCAATAATACTTCGAACACTACTAATACCCAGACTACTACTACAACTACCAATAACGATGGCACTAATTCTAATGATGCTAACATTATGACTAATACTACTATTGATGGTGCTGCTGATGATGATGGTGGTGATACTAGTATGAATAACAACAACAAAGTAGTCATACTGATATTGTTGTGAATGATACTATTATTGACGATAATATTATTCGTCGTAGTACTCCTACGAATGATAATTATACTCACTATACTACTACCGCTACTACTATTAGTAGTACCAGTACTAATCATACTTCTGATACTATCTCCGAATACTATACATACCAACACGAAAACACCAACATAATATTGTTAATGATTTTGTTATTATTCTTTTTCCCTAGTCAGAGCTTGCCTCTGTATAGGGGTCCTATTGGATTCATATTGTTAGGTCCACTGTGGCGCCGATTTCGGCGGCACGCCCGGGTGCCTGGGTGCCCGGGTGCCTGGGTGCCCAAGTGCCCGGGTGCCCGGGTGCCCGGTGTCCCTATAGCCCTATAGCCCTACAGCATTGCAGCCTTGTAGCCCTATAGCCCTATAGCCCTATAGCCATAACAGCCCTAATTCCTATAGCTCTATAGCCCTACAACCCTATAGCCGTATAGCATTACAGCCTTATAGCCTTGTAGCCCTATAGCCCTATAGCCCTATAGCCCTATAGCCTTGTAGCCCTGTAGCCCTATAGCCCTATAGCCTTCTAACCCTATAGCCTCAGAGCCCTACAGCCCTACAGACCTATAGACCTATAGCCCCATAGCCCTATAGCCCCAAACATATTATGGTTGGGGGTATTTTTCTGGTACCATTCATACTACGGGTACTACTAGTAAAGGATACAAGCAATTTTACGAGGACTAATTTTACGAATAAGAATTCGCATTAGTAGTAACATTACACATGCTACTTATAGTAATGATCGTACTACCAGTCATACTAACAACAATGATAGTAGCAATCATGGTAATGATAGTACTGATAATGATGATACCAATGCTACTACTCCCAACACTAATCATATTAACGATCATACAAATATTACTAATTGGAATAACCCACATAAGATGAGGACGATGAGGTGAATGATGAGGAGGAGGATTGAGGAGGAGGAGGAGGAGGAGGAGGAGGATTAGGAGGAGGAAGAGGAGGAGGATTTGGAGGAGGAGGAGGAAGGGGTTGAGAAGGAGGATTTGGAGGAGGAGGAGGAAGAGGAGGAGGAGGAGAAAGAGGAGGAGGAGGAGGAAGAGGAGGAGGAGGAGGAGCAGGACCAGGACCAGGGCAGCAGCAGGAGCAGGATCAGGATCAGGAGGGAGGAGGAGCAGTAGGAGGAGGAGGGGGGAGGAGGAAGAGGAGGAGGAGGTTGAGGAGGAGGAGGAGGATAATAAGGATGAAGAGGAGGGGGAGCAGGAGGAGGAGGAGGAGGATGAGGAGGATGAGTGGGAGCAGTAGGATGAGGAGGAGGCGGAGGAGGAGGAGGAGGAGGAGGAGGAACGGGAGGAGGCGGAGGAAGAGGCGGAGGAGGAGGAGGAGGAGGAGGAGGAGGAGGGGGCGGAGGAGGAGGATGAGGATTTGGAGGATGAGGCTGAGGAGCAGGAGCATGGTGGCGAATGGGAGGAGGAATACGATATGGATGACGAGGAGGGGGAGGGCGACGAGAGGGGGGATGGAAGAGAGAGTGGAGGAGGAGGAGGAGGAAGCGGAGGAGGAGGCGGAGGAGAGGATGGTCGTTCGTGGAGGGAGGACGGATGAGGGATGCTGCGTGATGGCGAGTGTGATCACTGTGATGATGCTGATGATGCTGCTGCTGCTGATGATGATGATGATTTAGACGGTGATGATGCTGATGATTATGCTGCTGATGATGATGCTGATGCTGATTAGGAGGACGAGGATGAAGATGAGGATGATGAGGGCGATGATGCTGCTGCTGCTGATTAGTATGATGTTGCTGCTGTTGTTGATGATGATGATGATGCTGATGCTGATGCTGATGCTGATGATGATGATGATGACTATGATGATGATGATGATGATGATGATGATGATGATGATGATGACGATGATGATGATGATGATGATGATGATGATGATGATGATGATGATGATGATGATGGGAGGAGGAGGAGGAGGAGGAGGAGGATGATGATGATGATGATGATGATGATGATGATGATGATGATGATGCGAACGACATCGACGACGACGATGCTGATAATGCTGATGATTGGGATGACGATGATGATGACGAGGCTGATGACGACCATGACGACGATGATGATGCGGATGATGCTGCATTCAGCTGTTTTTTTTGTTGTTAGCGGTGATTAGAATATGGTTGGGTGGTTTGGTGATTTTGTTTGAGTTGTTCAGCATGATGATCATGATGATGAGGAGGACGAGGAGGAGGATGAGGAGGAGGACGAGGACGACGACGAGGATGATGATGAGGATGAGGATGAGGATGCGGATGATGAGGAGGAGGAGCAGGAGGAGGAGGAGGAGGAGGAGGAGGAGGAGGAGGAGGAGGACCAGCAGTCAACCGCGTGTGCAACCGCATACGGGAACACGGTCTACACCAGACACATTCTCTTGGGCCTTCGCCTGAGCGGGATCCCAACCGCCTTCACGCTCTGACGGCCTCGCGAGGAGCCCTCGGCGCGCTCGCCTCGACCTTGTTCTTGGCCGCCTCCATATCGGCCTCAACTTGGGCGACGACGATGGCCACGCCGCGCGAGCAGCCGTGCCCGCCAGAGTGGGCCCGCCACGCGTGCCCCGAAGGCAGGCGCTGCCCGCGTTCCAGCGCGCGCTGCACCAGGGCCGCCTTCGTCGCCGCCACCCCCGCCACGGCTGCGGCCACGGCGGACAGGGCGGGCGTCTGCCCAGGCCTCGTCCCTGCCAGGCGCGGTCGCGGGCCCGAGGTCGCGCCCCGCTGGTGGCCCTGCACGGAGCCTGCCGTGCGCTGCTCCCCCGACTCCGTGGCCGGCGGCCGCCGCCCGCATCCTCGACCGCCGTGGGAGAGTCCTCGGGCACCGCAGGCTTGGGGCCCTCGGATGCGCCGAGGGTCCGGCCGCTCTGGCCCTGGGTGCTCACAGGCCCCAAGCTCGGCGGCCCGAAGAGGCGCCCCCCGCAGGCAGGTCTTTTCCGCGGGCAGGCCGTGCCGCCCGTCCTTGACAGTGCACAGTCGGACCTGGGCCGCCAGAAGAATATCCTTCGAGCACATGGGGCCCTCCGTCGAACAATCAAAGGGTACCCTCCCCAGGACGCGGAAGAACAGCCAACAAGCACGAAGAACACTAGGGTACCCTCCCCGAGCCGACCTCGATCTGATAGATGGGCCCCACTGTATACGAATGGAGAAGCCTCCGATCGACCGCAGGGCGGCCGCCTCCAGCAATCGGCCGCACTCCTGACGGCGGGCGGGGGTGAGGGGCGGCGGCGGGGACGGGCCTGACGCCTTCTCTGCCATGCCGGCCTTGAGCAAGCACGGGCGAGCGGGCCTTCAGGACGGCCCGGTGCTTCTGGGGCCCTGGCGGGCGGCTCTCGGCGGGCGGAGTGGCGCCGAGGATCGCCGGGGAGAGGTCCACAGGGCAACCAAAAGCGTGCGAGGAAGCCTCGGTCCGGCCGCACGGCGATAGCTGCGCAAAGCAGGCCGCTTCTCGTGGCGGCTCGTGCCGTTTTCCGTTGTTTGTGGCTGTCCCTGCCCGTTTTTTGCAGTCTGTTTTTTTCCAGTCCGCCACTCTTTGTTTTTAACGTTGTTGTTTGCAGTTTTCTCTTGCATGTAGTAGTTGTTTGTAGGTCTGGCTTGTGGTTTGCTTGTCTAGTTGTTCTTGTTAGCTTGTTTGTTTCCTTTCAGTTTAATAGTTTCGTGCTTTTCATGATTCGCATATTTCCTTTATCGCTCACCTGTAGGTTTGTAGTTGTAGTAGGTTTGCAGGTTTGTAGTGTGTGTTTAACGTTTTCCACTCACTGCCTCGATTTTGCCCTTCAGCCTCAGGCAACATGAAGTCTATCGAGAGCGACTACGTGGCCCAGGTCGCGGCCCTTCAGCACGAGAAGCAGGAACAGCTCGGGGGGCCCTGTTCCTCTTCCTGCTGCTGCTGCTGCTCCGTCTCCTCGTGCTGCTCCTGCTGCTGCTGCTGCTGCTGCTCCTCTTCCTCCTTCTCCTCCGCCTCCCTCCCTCCCCTCTCCCTCCCCTCTCCTCCTCCTCCTCCTCCTCCTCCTTTTCCTCCTCTTCCTCCCGCTCCTCCTCCTCCCTCCTCCCTCCTCCCTCCTCCTCCTCCTCCTCCTCCTCCTCCTCCTTTTCCTCCTCCTCCTCCTCCTCCTCCTCCCTCCTCCGCCTCCTCCTCCCTCCTCCTCCTTCCTCCTCCTCTTCTCCTCCTCCCTCTCCTCCTCCCCTCCCTCTCCTCCCCTCTCCTCCTGGTCCCTCTCTTCCTCCTCCCCGTCCTCCCTGACGGGCATGTTCCGGCGCGGCGCGGGCCCGCCTTTTGCGCTTTTCCTTCGTGGGGGGGAGGCGCGGCGGGCCGTCGCGCCTGCGGGCCTTCGCGCGGCGGCGACGCCCGTCGCGCGCACTC